TACAAAATAGAATTCGATCAAACTGTAGGAGAGATTTCTAGTTCCAGAAAATCAAAAGAATGTCATATTTTTGCCTGTCTGTTTAAACATAAACATAATAAAGTAAAACATTTTTTCTTTCAAATTCATTTTTATAACAGAAGAAATTATAGGGCAGTATATTTTGAATCAGTTTTTATTATATATATTATCCTCTATCATTTTGACTGATTCAAAAGATAAATAACAAAAGAAAAAAGAAAAAAACAAAATACAAATAATAACCAGATATAAATAATAACCAGATATAAATAATAACCAGATATAAATAATAACAGATATAAATAATAACCAGATATAAATAATAACCAGATATGAATAACAAAATTAAAATAATAACCAGATATAAATAACAAAATTAAAATAATAACCAGATATAAATAACAAAATATAAATAATAACCAGATATGAATAACAAAATTTAAGTAATAACCAGATATAGATAATAACCATATATAAATAACAAAATTTAAATAATAACCAGATATAAATTACAAAATTTAAATAATAACCAGATATAGATAATAACCAGATATAAATTGGAGATTAATTAAACAACTAATATTGGTATTGGAGTCTTTTATTGATAGGAATTACATGTTTTAAATGACTAACTATGATTCAGTTGTAATATTGTATTTAATTATATTGAATACATTTATGAAGATGAATAATTACAAGTTGATAAGTTTATCATATGCATGCGATAATCGAACACCTTCATCTTCTGATGTTGATAGCTTCAAGAAGTCTCCTGGTTTTATCTATTGATTGTCAGTACTCACAATTGCTAAATGCCATTCAAAGACAGAATGCAATGTATTTTCAGAAGTTGTACACTTGAAATTTCTATAGGATACAAATCTAACACAGCAATGTAAAAACAACAATATTGGTTTGAAAATGATTTTATATATTTATAGAAACAATCAGAAATACACAATTACCATCATACAATATTCTTTTTAATATTGTAGACGTAAACATGTCAATAAATCTAATCGATTTCAAAAAAATAAATGCTTAATAATTTATTGTTTGTTTAATCCTACCACCAGCAAAAACTAAATTCATAATAGTTGTATTAAATGGAAGAAGCTCTGAGTGGTTTTAAAAGAGAACCAAACAATTTCTGTTAAAAGAATACTACCTCTTAGAATGAACATGCTTTTAACAATTACAATTACTCAGTTTTTAATGATTTCTTACTTTGTTTTAAGGGTTTATTGGATTATAGATGAATTATTTCATAACGTTTTGATATCAGGTAAGTCTAGTTGTGAACAAAGACTCATTTTAAAATTTCAAATTTTTTATTTTTTGGTCACCCTAAGAGGCAGTATAGATTTAACATACATGTAGGCTAGACTTTATGACAAATTTGATCAGTTAAACAGTGAACAGTTAAAGAATTAAATCATCCCACAAATTTGGTACATAATGTCCTTTATCTCTATTCAGTTTTGGCTTACATTTCTCTATTTCTGTATTTCCATTATTAATTGTTATGCTTGATAAAGATTCCTGTATGTGAATTGAAACGTTGCAAAATTAAATTAAAGGAGTAGTATATCCATAATAGTTGTTTTTGCTGAATAAAGTTTATAGTTATTACTTACAAAATATATTCTCAACATTAAATTTTATATGAACACAAATTAAAATCGTAGTTTGATCATTTGTTTGAATTTAGTTTGTATATTTATTATACTTTTACATTCTCGAACTCCGTGTTTATTTATTATCTTACATGATGTGTTTGTTATCTAATTGTGAATACTTTTAAGATGTGAGACATCGAGTACATGTAACCTCTTAACGAAATGCTCGTGCAAATACTTTGAGAAAGTACTCTATAAGGATAGAAATAATACATTTATATTTATTATACATAATCATGAGTAAGAGAAGAAGTCCGAATTTTACATCGCAGGAGACTCAGATTTTTAAAGACGACGTGGAGAAGAATAAGTCCTTACTTTTCAGCCGACACAGCAATGTAGTAACAAACAGTGCTAAAAAGAAAACTTCATATTTGAATCGCAAACTGCTTGAACATTAATAGAATGGTAGCTTTTTCTATTTACATAAAGATGTTCATCTTCTGTTGGAGCTTTTATACGTATGTGTGTACCATCAATGACACCGACAACACTTTTTCTGTTTTTTCATGAAAACCTCTCATGATGAGTAGTTATTTTAGATACACTTGGTCTAGATATGTTATGGACCATCATTGACCATCTGAAAGCTTTCAGTGGCATAAAATCTGAGTGCAACCATGATTTGGAATGAAACTGGAAAGGCACGAGATCTTGCTGTTGGCCTTGCTAGGACTGTTTGGAACATTGTACATAAATCTAGTATCATTGGGCGTGAAAGTCTATATATACATACTATTTGTTCATCATCCATGTAGTCTAGTGGGTTATTTCTGTCTCGAAATACTCTGTTTCGGCGTACGTTTTCAGCTTGTTGTCGAATGTGCATGTAAACAACAGCCATATTATTTATTCACGTGATATCGAAGCTCTTATGATAATCATAAGTCTATCATAAGACCATCTTAAGACAGGTCGAGAGGTGTCTTAAGATTACGATGAAATTTATGATTTATCGTAACTTAGGACACTTTCGAAAACCTATCGTACGACTATGATATGTCGTAAGACCATCTTAAGACGTGTCTTGGTCGTAAGATACTTTCGAAAACCAGGCCCCTGGATCGTAAGACAGTCGATAAACCTAGCAAACTAATCACTAGTGATCATCTCTTTTTCGCAGCTGACTGACAACTAACATATTGATAAGATAAGATAAGTTTATTGTATCAAATACGCCCATTAAAGACATCATACAACGAGTGGTACATTTGAAAAGATATGAAATTACAAAATTTACCAACTTCGACAAATGGTAGATGATGAATTACTATATATTAATAATTCACGGAGAAAAAAATACAGAACATGGTAAATCTAATATAAAGGCATAAAATTGTATAGCATAAATTTATAATAGAAAAAAAAAATATATATATTATATTATATATATATATTATACACGATAATGTGCAAACAGTAGGAGAAGTCGATACAATTAGCTACGTTTCGGGACTAATCTCTTTATCAAGCGAAAATAACAAAAATAGACGAGAAAGGTTCCTCGTCTTCAATTTCATTTGATTCACACATTTGGCAAATTCTGTCATTTAATGGAATGTTACTATATCGACCTCGTGTCTTTCAGAGTTTCCCATTTATAACCGTCACAGTATTGTTGGGCCAGATGTACAGATGGTTTCAGACCTTCGTCAATAAAAACTGTAAGTGACCAGCAGATGATTTTCAAGAGTATATCTGGATTGAGAACTTGGTCTGATGGGGTTGTACCTCGAGCAGTGAATCAGTTCAAATCAATATATCAAAATGTATCCCGATGAACGCAGAATAACAAAAAAACATCAGCTTATATTTCGAGACATCTAAACCTCAATTTGTAGAATGGGAACGTTTGTGTCTAAGAATTTGTGGAAACATGGTGATGACAAATATCAATCAGGCTAAGACTAATGAGTAGAACAGCGGCATTAACATGCTCTCTTTATACTTCCAATTGTCGAGGGATCTTTAACGTGCACAGCCTGTAGCACATCCGAACAACTAGACACTTTTTGAATGTCAGCCCCTTTTACTCGCATCACTGACCGGGTTGAAATACCGACGGTATCATCTCGACCTATGCCGGGATTGAACCCCGGAACTTCAGGTTAACGAGCAAGCGACTTACTCACTGAGCCACCACGGCTCCCCAATATTTGGGGAGATTGCCAGGTACATGTATATGAAATATTAAAGAACTAACTGGTTCATTATGAAATCGTTTTATGAAAAACAATGAGAAACTGATATTTGAGCCATCAGGATTATAACAAATAGACTATACACAATATTATTGTTAATCATTTTAAACACCACAGTATACAATATAACACACATTTCAATTATAACAGTAAGCAACTTGAATAAAATATCATATACTTCTATTGGAAAACTTACTATGATAAACATAAGCACTTTGTAAAACTGACTTTGATAAACGTAAGCACTTTGTAAAACTGACTTTGATAAACGTAAGCACTTTGTAAAACTGACTTTGATAAACATAAGCACTTTGTAAAACTGACTTTGATAAACATAAGCACTTTGTAAAACTGACTTTGATAAACATAAGCACTTTGTAAAACTGACTTTGATAAATATAAACAATTTGGAAAACTTACTTTAATAAACAAGCAATTTGGAAGAGGGAATTGGGGTATCAGATTAGGGAATTGTTCATGGTAAAGGAAGGCTAAATTCATTAGTTATAAAAGAAAGTGATCTCATGTAAGTCAATAAATACAGTCTAATACTAATATATACATAGCCATTTCTACCAGTGGTTTTACACGAATTTCAATTTTCAGTTTTATAACGTCATGATGTTATCTCCCTTGAATCCATTTTATCAACGCTTCATCATTCTACTGAATGATGTATAGAACTATACCTAACAATAAAACGTTATGGCACTTACAAAATAGCTGAAACATGACACAATATTTTACAAATTTCATACTATTATAGACTGAAGGACACAAGCCTTAACTTACAGACTGAAAGAGGACATTTCTGCTATCTGTGGCACTTATAACGAAACATAATTTTGATGTCCTCTTTGATACCAACTTTGTTTGTATAATAATATTTCATGAATGTCGTGTTCGAAACTTATGACCGTTATTCTTATTTGCAACCATAGTATGATTTAAATTGGAGCCCCACCCCTAGAAAAAGAATGCAGAAGAGCATATAAAAAAACCCTGATTAGAGGAGGGGGGGGGGAGTGGTGGGCACTTAACTCCAGGGGCTCCTCTCATTTAGTTGAGCCTCTGGACACAGCCTTTTAAAGCACTATTTTTAGTTTAAAAAAACTGCAATGTCGGGTCGTCCTGTAGAGTTTGCTGCGAGCTCAGTATTTTCCTGTGTAAATATATTACATTGATAATAATCAGACACCAATTTAACACTGAAGATATGACACAATGGTAACACATAACATTTCATAGCACATTGACCATATCCTTGTACATTGTACGTCATATCCGGCGTGGAAGATACTTTTGCATCTTCTAATCGACTGTATGACGAATTGATGCTGGCGATTCGTGTTCCAAATACTCGAACCTAAAATGTTAATAAGTGAAGAAACGATTATTATCTGGAAAATGGTTTAATGTCGCGTATTAAGAATTGAAGAAGAGGTGAGTTGAGAAGTGGAAATGGGCGAAGGGATGAAATGGGAATAATTTAGGGCAAAATGGAACGAATGGGACACTATACTATACAAATAAAACCTTTCGGCAAAAATACCACGAAAATGATTCGGATACCCCAAATTGGGCATTATCAGCCAAAGACCATATATATAAACTCACCTCACATAATATTAGCATTTCCTTAACGCCCGGTTGACCATTGATAATAATTCTAACATAGCGACCTTTCATTATCTGTTTACAATTATACAGTACAGTTTTTCCTCTGGTTCCTTTACCCACATGATAGTAACAAAGTTCGGTATCAGAAATAGACTCCCCATCTTTATAGATCTCAATAGAAAAATCGTGAGCCAATTGCAGGCCGGCTGTAAGATAAGATGGAAACATAGAGATTTTTAGATTAAGGTCAATAATAATTTCCATTGAATATATTTATTGTGTGAAAACAAAACTATGATATAGTTAAGCGTGAAATACACCCGTGTAATAGCCAACTCTAAATAAATGCCTGTTAAGGCGGTGATACATAAAACCCGACACTCTACGACACGACAGAAACAGAAACAATATAAATTGCATATACTATACATACTGGATATGGTGGGCTACTACACGACCTGACTCCTTCGGACGTTACAAATTGTTATATTGTTTCTATGTTGTCGAGCCGTCTGTGCCTTGTCGGAATGTCTTTGCGTTGATAAAAATATAAACATGAGCACACATTATGTCTTAATTATGTCAAAATTTATTTTTACAGAGGACAATTTTAAGCAAAACTTTTGAACTTTTTGGTTGAAAGTTTGAAGAGGGAAATGTATTTCTTTTCAATGTCAACATACAAAAACTATATTTTCTTTTAACGCAAAGACATTCTTAGACGTTCAGTACTGCTATTCCAATTCTCATTAAAATTATAGATCAATTCCATTCCAAAAAACATTTTGCTTCGCTCAGAAAATTATAGTATTGTGGAGAGTACATTTTAAAAAAAAATATTAATATTTACGCAAGTCAATATGTGTTATGGACACAGCATAGATGAAGTAGTCTTGCAGAATATCAACTTCCCACCAAGGTGAAGATTCGGCTGGGTCGGCACCGAATCCTTTCGTATGCGAACAACTGGTTTGACTTGGCAATAATCCATCGATACCATCAGTAGCTCTAGATGCTACAAATGTTAGATAAGTGCTAATTTGGGTAGCTGATTTGTGAAGTGCCACATTTACTAAACTGCAATCTGAAAGAAATAGTTTAAGAATCAAGAATATGATTACTGAATACACAAATATAAACATATATCATCTTCTGAATGTCACCAACTTGTCCCAATTTCAGTTATCATATATCAGTGCATTTGATTGGATTGTACGCTGGTGAACAGCCAATAAGAGCCTTCCACAGTAAGTCTGATTTAAACAATCTTTCGGTCGAGAGCTGTAATAGGCTGTATTCTCTAGTGTACAGTCCAGTCAAATTGCTGTTGTGAAGATGATCATACACAAGAAACGGACAAATTCAATGAAAACATTCCTTCCATGTCTTTCTAGCACAGGCAATTATTTAACTATGTAAAATAAAAAAAAACTGAATGTGGGAGGGGGCACAGCCGGTCAGCCGTATGCCACCCCTACCAACTCTTACACCTCCCTAACGCGATGGAACAGATTCCATCACTTGTTTTAGGTCGTTAAAGATCACAGTGCTCTCAGAATAAATGAGTATGTATGTGTAATCAAACGAGTAACATGTACTTGTTTTCTAGCCCGTGGTGTTTATTCAATCAGTCAAGTATGATTTTTACACATCCGTTATACACAAATAAATGGGTCCGTATAGATGTAATCAATATCTTATATGTTAAATTCAACCTTCATAAACAAGGATTGATGCTAAGAAAAAATGGCTAATCAATATGCTCATAAATCGATACGCCAAAGATTTGTTTTCGAATTGATTATTTTAATTTTGAATTTCAACCAGACGTGTTTTGTAAAATTCTTTTGAAATTTGAAATTTGTTATTCGGTCTCTAAGCTCTAATTATTGGGTAGATTATGTTTTTTTTTAGGAAAGACAGTTTAACAATAAACTTTGTCATCGGAGAGCTTTCAGTTTCACAAAATCACTTCTTGTTGTCACCTTTTTCGGTGTAAATCAGAAATGTCGACAAAATCAATGCGGAATATCTATAATATATATCAACAACCTGAAAAATCAAAACCGATTTCTGGTTAATTTTAAATATTCAAAAGGCGATATCTTGTGACCTTGACTGACCCTGAAATTTCAGTTTTGATTGTCATTGACCTATGCTATCCATGGATGCTTATTTTTGACATATCTGTCACGTTTCCTAAGAAGTTAGTTATTTTCAGATTATTAATGTCCGTGTGGTTCTCTTTTAGACGATATATGACTAAAGTTACAACTTTTAATATATTTATCCCACAGTAATGTAATACACAATGTACTTTTTATCCTATTCTAAAGGGACAAATGCACGATTTTTGGGAGTTTGATTTGAGTCTTGAATATATGTAGGCCTAAATAGTCTTCAGAATTACTAGAAATGTAAGAGAATCGCACAATTCCTTTAAAAATATCTCAAACTAGGTATTGTACCCACTATTTCTATATATCTCTTTTCTATACATCATAGAGTATCTTAAAATGACGAGTCATTTTAACAGTCAAACGTGGATAATTCTGAACACACATGGATTTGAAGGCTAAAATTTGGATGCTTATATTGGACATATCTGTCACGTTCCCTAAGGAGTTAGTTATTTTCAGATTATTAATGTCCTTGTGGTTCTCTTTGAGACGATATATGACTAAAGTTACAACTTTTAATGTATTTATCCCACAGTAATGTAACAGGTTGATTTGAGTCTTGAATATATGAAAATAGTCTTCAGAATTACTAGAAATGTAAGAAAATCGAACAATTCCTTTAACAATATCTCAAACTAGGTATTTTACTCACTATTTCGTCATTTTAACATTCAAACGCAGATAATTCTGAACACACATAGATTTGAAAGCTTAAATTTCGACGTGAGCTGTGAACAGTATTACTAATTGGCTAAGCTACAAAATTCCCATTTCTGTGACTGAGTATGATTGGTCAAAAAGAATTATCTACATGCATTAGCTTATGTACCCTATGAAATATATTTGTGTATGTATGTATTTTACTCAGCGAGGCAGATTCGAATAAGCATTATTTTTTTATTTCTGTATCGCATATATATATTGTACATTGTACCACTAAATCAACAATAAAGAAATGCTGTTTTAAAAAAAATCAAATAAGAGAATAATGTACTTACTGTTTACATCTAACAATAGACATACCAAATACAAGCACTTCCACATTGACATCTTATCTTTACACTGGCAGACGATAAAACGAGATTACATCGAGATATGATACACTGCTGGCCAGACAATGTAACATACGCTCACAGTATTCGAAGCCATCTATCAAAGGTATACAACCTCTAAGGAGGACCAAAAAATTGAAATTTTTAAACTTGGCCAATGTGAGTCATTGTTCATTACTGGACTTATCTGGGGTAAAAACTATACGACAGAACCCCTTTATAATCCAATAAATCCATAAAACTATGTGATGATTCATAAAGCTAAGTAATCTGAAACATGCCTAGAAGCGCCTTTAATAATTATTTTGTTTATTCGATATATCGATACGTATCCTTGTTTTCAGTTAAAATTTCAATAATCTGGGCTTATTTTGACAATGAAATCAAAGTAACTTTCTATACACACTTTTTTAAGCCGATTTACCAATTTCTATTGAGGTTAATCAGTATCCTTCTTTACAACAGGTTAGAGGCGGTTTCTATTGATTCTACACATTTAACTTTAATAAACGTCTACCGATCGAACTGCATGATTGCTTTATAAGCAAGACTTATTTGAAAAATGAATTCACTTCGAAACAAAGTTACGACATCTTTGTTTTTAAAATATTAACAATGTTCAACACGAGCTTAACAGAATTGTGGATGCTGTCGATGCGTCCCCTTCACCCACTAACATGCGTTTCCTGGTCATTTCTGGTCGTTTCATGTTTTGGTAAGTACGCACCTGTAGACGGTTTCTTATCGGCTATGTTGTTGTAAGTTTCATTAAATAGAAAACATTGGTTAAAACTAGGTTTCCAGCTACTCAGAGTCAAACAGTCAGGTCTCGAATTGCACTTCACTTGACACTGATTTTGATTTGTATTAGAAGAATGTTAGATTATTAGTGCTCTGTGAAGAATACAACTATTGTATTGGTTTACGAGATAGAATGTACACACTGGTTTCCTGGTTTCCTGTCATTTTCAGCTTTTTTTCTTAATACAAAAAGTATCGTTCTCTCAAGCAACTTGTCTTAAATTGATAAAATCAAGACAAAAAAGTAGTCAGTTCACAGATATTGTTTTTAAAAAGTTGTCAAAGTGTAAGAAATTGGGATGGCTACATTAATACTCAAATTAAAACATTTCAGCAAGAAAGAAATATTCACCATGAAAAAGTAAAAGTAAAAGTACTTCACTAGTTGGCACCAATACTAGCAGCATTGTTAAGAAACTATTCATCTTTCTAGAGTGAAGATTCCAAATTAACCAAAACTAGAAACACTATTATGGTAAATGAGTAGATTTGAAACAGAAAATTATTGTGTATACAACTGACCAGATGTTACGTCAACTGTCAATGTGTTGGAATGGTTGTTCATTAAATAGCGTACCAACAAATCAGACGACGACACTACAACAACAATTACTATAGACTTTTTTGTACTGTTCATGGTACAGTATCTTACTTTAATTATTTGGCAAGTCAACTGTAAAACAATATGTCTTTATACCATAATGAATCTTTTATGTTTTTTTTTAAATACTTATTTTAGTTTTTACTTTTAACCCCTTCAGTAATTTTTGAAGAAGGGTGACTCAAAACTCCTTTTCATAAAATTTCATCAGATAAACCTATTCCAGAATGAATTTTGATTCGTTAAATTTAAATTTCTTACTTGGCTGTCCACTGTAAACAATATGAAAATATGATCTGTTGAATGTGATACCAGTTGCGATCTGTTGAGTATGATATGAGTTTAAGAGATCTGTTGAGTATGAAATGAGTTTAAGAGATCTGTTGAGTATGATATGAGTTTAAGAGATCTGTTGAGTATGATATAAGTTTAAGAGATCTGTTGAATATGGTATGAGTTTAAGAGATCTGTTGAATATGATATGAGTTTAAGAGATCTGTTGAGTATGATATGAGTTTAAGAGATCTGTTGAATATGATATGAGTTTAAGAAATCTGTTGAGTATGATATGAGTTTAAGAGATCTGTTGAATATGATACATGTATATTTAAATGTACAGGTGTGCCATTTTTGGGATTCATTTTAGTCTTGAATATATGTAAATAGTCATCAGAAGTATTAGAAATGTACGAACATCACAAAAATGCTTTAAAAATACATCGAACTAGGAATTTTACTCACTATTTCTATATGTATTTCTATATATCACAGAATATCGTAAATTGACATGTCGTCATTTTAACATTCAAACGCTGACACACGCACACACATGGACTTGAAGGCTCAAATGTCGACTGTGAACTGTGTCTTACTGATTAGCGCAGCTAAAAAATTCCAGTATCTGAGTTTGAAGCAAGATTGGTAAAAAATCTGTCCCTTTAAATTACTAAGTATGTTAATGAAATAATTTGCATATTCCACATACAGATTTTGACTCAATTATTTTAATAATCATTTAATGAACAGTTAATTTTAAAAAAAAATAGGGCTACAATTTTCATTGTATAACAATCATTTCAATATTTACTTGAACTAGGAACTAAACGCAAGTTCTATGGTATTTATTTCGCCGGCTGAAACATACTTTTCAGATATAAATATGTGACGTCTCGTCTTTATATTATTTACTTTACAAGCTGAAAGAGTTCAATTTCAAGTCTCTTTATAGTCGCTTTTATATTTACTTTACAAGCTATATAATGACGACTTCTGGATATTCTTCCATTTGCACAAGCTTGAGTAGAGGCCAATATCAGTCTGTTATTTCAAGGCTGATATCAGTCTGTGGTCACAAGGCCAATATCATTCTGTTATCTCACAACAATATCAGTCTATTATCACAAGATCAATATTAGTATCAGTCTGTTATCTCAAGGTCAATATCAGTCTGTTGTCAAAAGGTTAATATCAGTCTGTTATCACAAGATCAATATCAGTATCAGTCTGTCATCACAAGATCAATATTAGTATCAGTCTGTTATCACAAGATCAATATCAGTATCAGTCTGTTATCTCAAGATCAATATCAGTATCAGTCTGTTATCTCAAGATCAATATCAGTATCAGTCTGTTATCACAAGATCAATATCAGTATCAGTCTGTTATCTCAAGATCAATATCAGTATCAGTCTGTTATCACAAGATCAATATCAGTATCAGTCTGTTATCACAAGATCAATATCAGTATCAGTCTGTTATCACAAGATCAATATCAGTATCAGAATATCAGTATCAGTCTGTTATCACAAGATCAATATCAGTATCAGTCTGTTATCACAAGATCAATATCAGTATCAGTCTGTTATCACAAGATCAATATCAGTATCAGTCTGTTATCTCAAGATCAATATCAGTATCAGTCTGTTATCACAAGATCAATATCAGTATCAGTCTGTTATCACAAGATCAATATCAGTATCAGTCTGTTATCACAGGATCAATATCAGTATCAGTCTGTTATCTCAAGATCAATATCAGTATCAGTCTGTTATCTCAGGATCAATATCAGTATTAGTCTGTTATCACAAGATCAATATCAGTATCAGTGTGTTATCACAAGATCAATATCAGTATCAGTCTCTTATCACAAGATCAATATCAGTATCAGTCTGTTATCTCAAGATCAATATTAGTATCAGAGTTTACTTTTTTGGTGTATATACAATATTTATTTACATTATAGGATTAAGGAACTTTCACCTCATAGTACCCTCTACTTAAAATACAAATATACATTTACTGAATTTCTGGTTTCACCGACTGCATAATGGTGACGTGAGCCACTTTATAATGACGTGCTTATTTGACAGAATGCAATGTATTTTCAGAAGTTTTACACATGAAATTTCAGTAGGATACAAAATCTAACATAACAATGTAAAAACAACAATATTGGTTTGAAAATGATTTTATATATTTATAGAAACAATCAGAAATACACAATTACCATCATACAATATTCTTTTTAATATTGTAGACGTAAACATGTCAATAAATCTAATTGATTTCAAAAATAATAAAATACTTAATAATTTATTGTTTGTTCAAAACTACCATCAGCAAAAAGTAAATTCATAATAGTTGTATTAAATGGAAGAAGCTCTGACCGGTTTTAAAAAAGAACCAAACAATTTCTGTTAAAAGAATACTACCTCTTAGAATGAACATGTTTCTAAAGATGTTTCACAATTACTCAGTTTTTAATGATTTCTTACTTAGTTTTAAGGATTTATTGGATTATAGATGAATTATTTCTTGACGTTTTGATATCAGGTAAGTCCACTTGTGAACAAAGACTCATTTTAAACAAGTTTTAATTTTTGGTCATCCTAAGAGGTAGTATACCTTTAACATATATGTAGGCTAAAATTTATGGTCTGTTCTAGTTTGACGCTGCCTTGTTATAAATTGAATGATAATATGACAAATTTAATCTCTGGATCGTAAGCCGGTCGAAAAACCTAATAAACTAATCACTAGTATGCCTGTGATCATTGTATCTCTTTTTCGGAGCTGAAATAAGGTTTTATTAATTTCTTTATCAGCCGTCAGACTGACAACCTACATAATTATGTGTATCAGAATTCCCATTTATAACCGTCACAATTATCTTGGGCCATATGTACAGATGGTTTCAGACCTGCGTCAATAAAAATTGTAAGTGACCGGCAGATGATTTTCAAGAGTATATCTGGATTGAGAACTTGGTCTGATGGGGTTGTACCTCGAGCAGTGAATCAGTTCAAATCAATATAAACTAGTGTCCAAAAGAAATGATACCAACTTATTTTCAAAATTGTCAGCTTTTCAAAATTTTCAGCTTGTATACCGACGATTTGGTGAACGTTTGGCTCCTAACTGTATCCAACAGGTCCGGCCGTTTGGAGGTGGAGGGTTAATGGTTTGGGGTGGCATATGTGGTGACGTCAAAACGAGGCTTGTCGTAATTCGTGGAAACCTGAATGCACAGCGTTATATTGATTACATCCTACGGCCTGTTGTGGTGCCCTTTATTCAGCAACAGCCTCGTGGACTCCTTTTCCAACATGACAATGCAAGGCCACACACAGCAAGATTGACACAGAACTTCCTTGCCAACGCCAACGTACAGGTTTTGCCATGGCCCGCATGTTCACCGGACATGAATCCCATCGAGCACTTATGGGACCACCTCGATCGGCAAATCCGACGTCGCCGTGTGCCTCCAGTCAACGTCCAGGACTTGGAACGATGTCTCCTCGAGGAATGGCAACGCATCACTCCCAACGTCATCAGACGTAGGCGTGTTCTGGCATGTATTGATGCTCACGGTGGACATACCCGCTACTGACTTGACTTTGTGACGTGTGGTGTGACATTTCCCGTTGTTTCTGTGATCAGTGCTCTAACGAAATGTTCTTTTTTCGACCCCACCCATCTTTAAAGGCTTGTCATATTGTTTGTACAGATTTTATTGAAATGAAATTTTTGTACAGTTGTTGTGAAAGGATTTCTCAAAAGCATAACTCCAATCCTAAACTTTTGCATTGTTTAGTTTTTCTTTTATGTCGTTGCAAACAGGTGGTTTCTTTTGGACACTAGTTTATATCAAAATGTACCCCGATGAACGCAGAATAACAAAAAAAACATCAAGGTATATTTCGAGACATCTAAACCTCAATTTGTGGAATGGGAACGTTTGTGTCTAAGAATTTGTGGAACCGTGGTGATGACAAATATCTATCAGACTAAGACTGATGAGTAAAAGTCATGCACGGTACAATGAGGTAAATTTTGCCCGGACAGCGGCATTAACCTGCTCTTTTTCGATTTCCAACTGTCATCTTTAACATGCACCGCCTGTAGCACTCGGGGCCCCGGTCCGTTCCGAACGACTAGACACTTTTTGAATGTCAGCCCCTCTTACCTGCATCACTGAAGGGGGAAAGCCTAAAGGTATCATCGCGACCTATGAACCCCTCAGGTAGCGTCCAAATCACTGAGCCACCCCAATGTTTGGGCAGATTGCCAGGTATATGAAATATTAAAGAACTGATTCATTATGAAATCGGTTTAATGATAAACAATGAGAAACTGATATTTGAGCCATCAGGATTATAACAAATAGACTATACACAATATTATTGTTAATCATTTTAAACACCACAGTATACAATATAACACACATTTCAATTATAACAGTAAGCAACTTGAATAAAATATCATATACTTCTATTGGAAAACTTACTATGATAAACATAATGAATTTTGAAAACTTACTTTGATAAACATAAGCAATTTGGAAAACTTACTTTGATAAACATAAAGAATTTTGAAAACTTACTTTGATAAGCATAAGCAACTTGGGAAACTTACTTTGATAAACATAAGGAATTTGGAAACTTACTTTGATAAAGATAAGGAATTTGGAAAACTTACTTTGATAAACATAAGCAATTTGGAAAACTTACTTTGATAAGCATAAGGAATTTGGAAAACTTACTTTGATAAGCATAAGGAATTTGGAAAACTTACTTTGATAAACATAAGCAATTTGGATAATTTATATAGCTTACTAGTATTTAGAAATCTCACTTTGATAAACACAAGCAATTTGGAAACTTACTTTGATAAACACAAGCAATTTGGAAACTTACTTTAACATAAGCAACTGAGGAAACTTACTTTGAAAAACATAAGCACTTTTAAAAACTTACTATATCAATAGATTTTCATTCACTACGAAAAGGTCATAACTTTTCGAGACTATCCTGGGCTCCCGTTCCACCAGTTTGAAATTGTCCAATAATCCTAAAACAAACTGGATGATCAATTTCATTAGTTATAAAAGCAAGTGATCTCATATAAGTCAATAAATACAGTCTAATACTAATATATACATAGCCATTTCTACCAGTGGTTTTACACGAATTTTCATTTTCAGTTTCATAACTTCTTGATTTTATCTCCCTTGCATTCATTTTATCAACTCTTCATCATTCTACTGTATAACCTCACATCTGTCAGATGACAAGGTTTACAGAATCATGTTTTACAAATCATTTTAATATCCCATATCAACTCTAGAAGAGTGCTGAGAGTCCTAGATGTTATTCACTGCTAGCCATTTAACAACCATCGCATAATAGATATTATATTATAAGTCAATATAAATACTGAATGATGTATAGAACTACACTTAATCAATAAAACGTTATGGCACTTATAAAATAGCTGAAACATGACACAATATTTTACAAATTTCATACTATTATAGACTGAAGGACACAAGCCTTAACTTACAGACTGAAAGAGGACATTTCTGCTATCTGTGGCACTTATAACGAAACATAATTTTGATGTCCTCTTTGATACCAACTTTGTTTGTATAATATTTCATGAATGTGGTGTTCGAAACTTATCACTGTTATTCTTATTTGCAATCATAGTATGTTTACCATAATCAACTGTTAATCATTATCATGTGAGGACACTTTAAGCAAGCTTATTGACCTTCAGTCCATAGTAAGATATATGGTGTTTAAGGCAGTTGGACAAGATACAGGATGGATGTTTATCAAATGAAAGCTGACCAATACAACATTTAATTATATCACTAGACTATAATAATAGTTGATCAGAAGCAAAAGGTTAATTTAATGAACTCAATATCTTGTTCTTCTCTTGACAAATTGGAAAGCACCTTGCTTGTATAAAAACAAATTTATCTCATTTATCTTGTGCACTTTCTTGAATTATTTCCCCCTTTTTTCCTTGTTACTGACTCAAATTCTCCTTTTAAATTACTCCCCTTCATATCTAACAATTCAAATAGTTGAAATTCAGACCATGTACAATTCTCTCAGTTATTAATATTCCTTATTTTGTCCCTTTATATATCTGTATTAATACACACATTTTCTAATCTATAATAAATACCTGATAATTTGTTCAAATTTAATACCTGCCAAACATGGACCTTGAACTCATTAGAGAATTTCATTTATCATCCCAAGAGGCAGATAAAACTTAACCAAGGATAATACAGCTGATACCCTACTGCTTGAATCAATTGAAACAATTTCTATATACTAAGAATTCCAATAAAATCTAGTCTAGCAGGCAGGTTTATGTTCGAGGCTGGGCGAAATATCTGAGATTTTTCGAATTTCTAACCTGCGTTGCTGCGCGGGGGGCAGCTGCCCCTCCTTTGGCTCCACCACTGGCCTCAATTTTATATATCTTCATATCCAAGCCTACACAATGCCCGCTTCTGTGGTCTTTGTCAATCAACATATACTAAATTTATCCTAGTCTATGAAATACAGTCCCTTCTAATGTGGTCATAATTCATCACATACATCCCTCAAGCTCCATATATTTATTCTAATTAAACTATGAATATGATGTATGACGGTCAGATAAAATAATGGATGTGTATTAAGGGGTCTGGCATTGACAGCTTCCTATTAAAATCTCATAATAAACTGCCCCTTTACGATATACAGATAAAAACTGAAAGTTATACTCTAACCTAGGAATAAAAGGCTGACACAGAAAAGCTCTAGATTGGTCAAAAAAATACTGTGGATATTGAAGATTCATTGGCAGTTGAGAATAGAACAAGAGCAAGTTTATGCTCACTGTTATTGTGAAATTCCCTCATGGAACATTTTATTGCAATGCCAAATCATTCACAGAAAAATACCAAATAAAATCATATCAAGTTTCATTTTTCTAAAAATCTATTTATAAATAACTCCCATTTCAAACTTAGTTGTTCTCCTACCCTATCATGTCAGCATCATGAAAAGAGTTTAAAGAATTGAGATATCTAGCAGGAATGTCAACGCCAGACCTCTGACAATGGCTGAGATAGCTAAAAACTATAGGAATATGTTGATAAAACTGTACATAAAATACTTATTACATATTATATCATTAAATAACTGTAGTCTGGTTCATGCTATTTAACTACAGGAGTTATTCATCTTATCTGGTCTGCTAGAGTAGTGTGCAAATGTAAAACTATGATCAAGGATATCTAAATAGTAACTTTAGTAGACTGCAAAGGCAAAATACCCATTCTTGCACAAAATTTGTACCATTCTGATTTGCCCCGTCTGACATTTTTGTTTCCTGTAATCTCTGAAAATATTCAACAGATTATAATACCACTTTGGTAAATACCAAATTATTGCGTAATTTTTCTCTCTTTCATTAAATTCTAATAAGAGCCTAAAACAGATTTTTGATCAACAGTTAACAGCTAGCTTGTCAATAGAATGAACCCTACATACATGTTATTTAACAATATACAATAACATAGTTTATAATTAATCACAATATCATAAGCCCACAAATAATTTAATAATTCTCTCCCTTTATAAAATAAATTTCAGTTTGAGTTAAAGTGGAGGTTACTTATTACTTCATTCAAAATACAATACATATCAAGATATGGTATTTTCATCTTGTTATCATAATTCCAATAGTAAACCTATAAAGCACATTATTTGATAATGAATGTTTCTGAAGTTGTTTCAAGTAGCAATTCCTGCTTCCCACCAAAAAATGTACTGCTTTCACAAGCACAATAGAATATCTAGCATGTAATTGTAAACTGATCTATACTATAATATAAATAACCTCCCTATTAACTCCAACTATATCAATTTTCTAAATATATTTCTTAGAATCTATTTCGAGTAATAAACACGATAGTAAAGAGTCTTAGATCTCCATAAGGAATAGGAATTATCAAACTTTAACAAATACACTCCACGGCCTGGATAAGTGTGACTACCACAATAAACCTCTTCATGACAATCTCGTCTATATACTGGTATAATTTCATCTGTTGGTGGTCTATCATCTCGTTTTTTACCACTTTCAACATCGCCTTTACCTTCTGTAAAGATATTATACAATATTTATTGAAGTTCTTTACTATTTCCACTATCCAATTTACTCGGTAAGTCAAGTTTGCAAATAACCCTATATTTCCTATGATAAGGTAAAGTTGAACTGATTGTTTTATAACATGTTATGTTCCTAATGCTCTGACTAACTTTGCCATGGCGATAGCATTTATTAACATCACTCAAATACCATGATCATACAGACTTAATATACAATGTTTTGTTAATATTTCTACTATTATTATTGTTAATATATATTATTATATTTATATATTATGATAATGGTATTAGAATGATATTTGTGGTAACTGGACCATGATTATACAGATATACTATACAATGGTTTGTTAATATTTCTACTATTATTGTTAGTATATATATATTATGATAATGGTGTTATTAGCATGATATTTGTGGTAATTGGACCATGATTATACAGATATACTATACAATGGTTTGTTAATATTTCTATTATTGTTAATATATATATATATATATTATGATAATGGTATTAGAATGATATTTGTGGTAACTGGACCATGATAAAGAAATACTGACCTTCAACAGGGACACCCTCCTCATCTAAATCTTCTTCATCACTGGACTCACTAACATGTATACTAACATTATTATTAGCAGATTCTGTCCATTCAAAATATAAACCAAATCCTATATCATAGTGGTCTGTAGCAAACTCCCAGAATAAACAACTACCATCTTCATGGGTGGGTACTCGAACCTGTACAAATAACATAATCTTTGAGATCTAAATTCAAATCAGGGATCTATATGAGGTTTTTATAGCTACACATGCCCCTAACACGTATGAAGAGCAGAAAACCTTTCTTTAATCCCTGTGCATATTTGCACAAAAAAATGAGCTGCTGCATTTCTATTTTCTATTGTTTGACGGATACCACATAACATTCCTTTGCCAATAATTGAAAGTGCTGCAGAAATTTATTAAACCAATGCTATACATCAAATTTTTGATGTAGCAATAAATATCATGCATTACAGCAAACACCCCCTAAAAACACTGAAAATGAAAGCGCAAACCTCAATATAACAAAAATAGACCCTGATAACAAGAAAGGGCTCCAAGTGGTCAATAAATAAGTACAAGAAGTCCACAAAGAGAAGCTAATTGGAACTGGTCAGATATACATGACAAAATTACTTCGAATTCTCCTTTAAAACATATTTTTGTGTTGAATAACTCAAAATGTGCACTTAAAACAACACATACTAAAAAATATAACAACAACAACACATACTAAATAATGTAACAATATATGAACAAGAGGGTTAAATTAAAATATCACATGTTAGTAAGATATAGCACCAAAAGGGTTAATAAAGGTGAGAATTGTGTTAGTTAAATGCTCTGCCAAATATACTCACTGTGACAGTTTCACCTGAACCAACTTTAATTATCGAATCTTTATCATTCTTTAACGATTCTTTTAATTCCTTGATTTCTTTCCGAGTCCACATTGAGGCTGCGGCAAGGGGAGGTAAGTCATCTAGAATAACGAGACAATAACATTACTATAACAACATTGAGTTGACTCACCGTAGCAGTGGCTAGACAATTCACTTTAATTATCTGATCTTTAAATTGACGTATTTCATCTTTAAATGACGGCAGATCAGGGCGTGTCCAGAGAGAGGCAGGTTTAATCTCAATCTCAGCACGATCTACTGAAATTGTGGATGTAAGGCATTCAGTTATTACATCAATCCCTTCACCACATTGTTTTATGATAAGAACTGTGAACAATCACATTCGACTTCAAGTTTTTTAATAACTGATCCTTTCGGCATATAATTCTTTAAATAAGATGGACAGGTCAATTGTATCATACCAACCTTTACTCTCTTCAGGAGGAAATACATGATAAAGACAGTAGCCCAGCAACTTTGCCCTACCCCAGAGGCATGGAAGAAGTTTTTTAGTAACATGTAAAAGCAAGTCTAGTTACTACTTATGTAAGACAGGTCTACTGAATGACACCGACCATCACCATCTTCAGAAAAATCGATAAGGACAGTAGCCAAGAAACTCTGCTCTACCCAGTTGCGTGGAAGAAGTTTAGTAGCAGTAAAATAAATTCTAGTTACTCCAAACTCTCAATAGATAGGACAAGTGAATGATACAAACCTTCACCATCTTCAGGAGTACGACCTCGTGGTAAATGGGTATTGATATTATTCTGGTGTGTTACCCCGTGGTTTGGTGTTGGATTTTCTGTGGCTGTAGTTTGGATGGTTGTTGACTGCAACGCTTGTTGTTGTTGTTGCTGTTGAAGAAGCTGTTGTTGATACACTTGTTGCATGTACTGCTGAAAATGTTGTTCTTGTAACTGTCGAATTAATTCATCTTGCTACAAAATATAACATTAATTTCACTTTTTTCAAAGTCAATGTACTGGTAGAATATTCTTAAATACTATAGAGTTTCTTGCACATTTACATCTATCATAAATAAGATTCCTATAGAATAAAATTGTCTTATTTATCTATAGTTTGTGCTCGTAGTATGCCATTGAAGGATTATTTATCATAAAATTACAATATTTCTGAGTGTTCAGTTTGATAAAGACAAGATATGTTGTCTGAGGCAGGATTGTCCAGACCTGAAACCTAGTGTAATTGCTTCTTCAATTTACTACTCGACAATCAGCGCCCTGGACACCAAAACCCCTCCATTTGCACCTTTTTATTTTGAGATATATGTTGTGCATTATTGATATAAATCATTATAGAAAAGGTCGCTATATTTACCATTTGTACATTACCAGGATATTGTTGTTCAGCATACTGTCGAAATTGAACTTGTGTCTGCTGATTTAAAGCTTGTCGTATCTGCATTCTGAAAACACAATGAAAATATAGATATTAGAAAATAAAAGACAATTATAATAAAACTACTCCTTCCTTTAATTTTTGCCAAGTTTCAATTCACATACAGACATCTTTTTTTAATGACAAATTTAGCCAAGAATGGAGTACAAGAACTTGAATTCAAAAATGTCTGAAAATGAAACCTACCAATGTTTAATTATCAACCGGCATTCAATATATTCCATGTCATGCTCTCAGACTAGTTTTTGCAAATCAGCACTAAAGTTCAAGTTATAGAACCAGTATTGAAATGTGGGAAGGGAAGCTATCTATGTAATCTATTTCTGTTGTAAATTTACTTACTGTTGTTCAACTTGTCTTTGTTTATCTAATTCTTGTTGTTTTAAAACCTCTTCTTCAAGTTCACGTTGTTTTCTTTCTACCTCTTCTCTCTTTATTCTTTCTTCTTCTTCTTTTCTATAAAATATATCATTAATACAGATCTATATGAATCTAACTGAAAATATTTCCATCATTAACGTTCAGAACTTGTCTTGAAGTGTAGACATGAGAAAAAGTTCTACTTGTCCAACTTTAGTTTTTTTAAGTGCTGTTTTAATATTTTTTAATCTTGAGAGATATAGTCATTAGTCATATAATCTATTAAATATATGAGTAGAAAGGGCTTAATTTCATCACTTATTTACAATGTTAACTACTACTGTGTATGATATGAATATGTCAAAATTTGCACTATAATTTAGTATACCATTGTCAACACCAGTAGTGAAAACAAGGTGATACAATTAATACTGACTGTTGTCTGATTTGTTCTTCTTTCTCAGCTTTTTTAGCTTCAACATACGGTTGAAATAAATTACAAGATGAATTTAAAAATTTGATGAATTCTTCCATTGCACACTCCCTGGACATATCTCCTAATGACTGCCATGCTTGTCTGAAATATTCAAAAGATAGCATGAATAGCACTGGATACTGTTAATCTAATTATAATGATGTGATATGAGTTGTAAATAATAAAACAATATGTATTGTGATGTGAAGTCTATGTAAAAGGGAATCAGCATAATTGGATGAGTTATTAAATCAAGTAAACTGAAATCTTTAAAAATTGAAATGATAACAATATACATTCTGTTACAAATTTATATTGCATGACAATGAAGGTTCTCTGGCTTATTTTTACCAATAGCTACTTTGCTAAACACAGGTCTGTATCAAAACCAGTGTTTATTAGAGAATGAAGACTATACTACAACAGATAGTATTACAGAGACATCCATAGTTAACATATATCTAATTATCTTAACTTGCACCTTGTTTTAACATAAATCTATACTTTGTGACCTAGGCCAGTGCTTTCATGAGACTATGTTCTTATCACCATATAACACTAAAGACAGACATGGCATTAGGAGTCAGCATGCAGAGAAACATTGTAATATATAACTGACAATGACCAATCACATCTTTTGAGCTAGAGTGAGACTATATTTTACAACCAATTGATTGTGTACACCACCTGAAAAATAACTCATGACCTATATAACAAACAAACCATGAAATATCCAAAACCAGTTGGCCTATATTGTTCATCACATAAACATAATCAGCATATTCAATTTACAATCTAATATCATAAATAACTTTATATTATTAACTATATTATTTTATAAAGCACATAATGTGTCATTCATGAACCTAAGATTTTTTAATTCTTTGTGATACAGAATAGATAGCATACAGTTAGTTGAAAAGACAATACTCTACAATACAAAGCCAAATAGTTACTTCTTATAAGCTTAGTTATAGATGTTATAGAAGATACTCTCCTATAGAAGCACTGGCCTAGGTCACAAGCTTAGTATTACTTTTATACTTAACCAAATATTGGAAGAAACATTGAATTAAAAAGAGTTTTTCTGACCTTTGAATGTTTATTCAGACATTAGTCAATTTACAATTCAAGCCATTAAATTTTAAGAAATTTGAATGATGCAAAAAAAAAAATAGTTAGCTATTGCTAGTACACATCCAAAGCTAGAACATCTTCTCAATACCAATACCTCTTATTTAGGTAAATAAAAAATTATCTACAAACTATAATATTAAACTTTTCTCATCTTCTATTCAATTTGTAATAGATATATCACTTTCAATACATAGAGCACATAAAATACCCAAGTTCTATTTCATAGATAAAGAATAGTGACTCAGCTCAGTGGTGTATTGTTCATATCAATTCAAAATGTTTACACATCAATTTTAACCGTTTTTAATACTATTTAAACATACTGATGCAGAAAAATGTTCACATTACATTCTATTGATAGGATGCTTATTAAATAAGTAAGTTTATACACTGAAATTTGTTTAAATGGTCAACCAATCTAGGGATTTTTATTAGCAGATTGATTATTTAAGATAGAAATGTACTGAACTGTACCTGACTGGAAACATGCTAGCATTTAACCACTTAAAACAGGATTCAAAAGAAGTTTTCTGGTACTAGTGGTTCTTTCCAATAGCCCATCAAAACAAACATTTACAAGATTTTGAAGTGACTATTGCACATGTACTGGTATAGTACGGTATGTAAAAAGGAAAGTTGTAAATAATAGACATAACTTTCACAATACATGTATATGAAATCTAGAAAGTGTGTTTTAATATATTTTTAAAATTGTACCGGTACTTACTTTCTATCATTACCAACAACATCTAAAAATCCAACTTCAGGTGAAGCATCATTACGAAATTTACCAAACACAACCTGTTTAGTATAGGCCACTAGTTTCAATTTATCTTTATAGGTTAACTGTAATGCCTTCCCTTCTTTCTCTACAATGCAAGAAGTATTATAATTTGATTACCGGTTGCAATTAATCTTATTAAACACAGAGTTTGAATAGTATTTTAATATTACTTTGTCAAAGATCTATAAAATAATCATAAGTAACTGTGGTTTGATTCATCAAATCAAATCATTTTTTTTCATTTATGTAGCCTACACTTTGTTGCAGCCTAGGAGTGTGACTCTTCAATGGTACCAGTAAGCTTATAGACAAGGCTAAGTAGACAGCGCTTTGATTGAAAACCTTTGATCTTTAACTTTTGAGCTTTTCATACCATATTTCCATGTTTTGAAGCCCCTGATGCTCCCTTGCTAAACATAAAAAACATTGTCAATACCGATACTGGAAACAATTTCAATGAACTATTTGCACCGACAGAGCAAAGTTGATAGATGTCTGATTAATGATGCAAGTCCTTTCCAAAAGACTTTTATGGTATCATAAGTGGTGAATGCATGTAACCTTAAAGGGTACTAGTACATAGATTGGGAAGCAGGGATTTTATCAAAACATTGAATGGTTGTAAGGGCTTGGCTTAAAATACATCTCTATTTTTGATGTCCACAACTATGTAGATTATAATGTGATTTAGTGGACAAAAATGCAAAGAATATTTAGTTATTGTTTTGAAACAATGCTAGGCGTGTCACATGATACTATTTTATAGTTTATATAAACAATAATACTTACAAAACCGGCGGAAATAAAATTGACATAAAAAAAACTGAAAAGACTTTTTGAAATTGTTGTCATTTTGGAAAGAAAAATTTAAAATTTACCTTTATAAAACTTCAGGGCGATCTTGTAAAGTTCTTCTAAAGGAAATCCCCACTTGGCAGTATATTCATCCGCGTTTTGATTTTCATTTTGTTCATTATTGGTTTCGTTAGTGACGGATAAAGATTCCACTCCGTTGACGAGTGTTTGTGTGTCGGCCATGTTGGCTATCCACGTATTTGAAGACTCAATTATCATGTCTCAAATTAGAAAGTAGGTCACGCCGTTACAGTTAGACAACAAAAATCGAAAGTAGACTGATAGTCAACTGATAGCAAACTGATTTATTACCATGGAAACGTATATAATCAGATTTCGTTTTAATAATGATATTATTTGATATCCCTCTTTACATTGATTCATTTACAATAACCTTTCATCTAAATGTATCTATTCTGTCCAGGATTAGACTTATCTATCTCTACATTTTAGTAAGCTTCCATTAATTTATTGTCATGCCAGGCATTTTGAATTTTTCCAACTTTCAGTTATGATATTATTTACAGAAATTCAGATATCATGCCTTTTATTTCAAACCCAAAATCATACAATGACCAACTCTCTGGATATAATATGCAACAGTTGCAAATTTCAAAAGAGAAGGCAAATGCTGCTGCACTGAAAAAAATTATTCTCTTTGCACACTGCATGGTGTTGTCTGTGCTGTGGCCCATAAGGTGCAGAAATGAGGGACGTAAAACTTCATTAATTTCGTTACATCTGGAACAATATTCAGAACAACTGCTGTCTTCATTAGCCCACATGATGCAGAAAAGTAGGACGTAAAACTCCATTCATATGGAAAACTGATTGCATGAATTTCATAAAACGCTCACTTTTAGTGGAATTCACAGACATTTGACTGAAAATTGAAATGGTGCAAATTGATGCTTCACATTCAAAGTTCAGAAAATCTCTTTAAAATCCCTTTAATTTCAACCAAGATTCAGATCTGACCCCAAGAATCTATTCAAGCAAGCATACATCAGCATCTGTGACCCACCACAGTCCCTTGTAACATCTAGCTAGCAAATAAAATACAAATGAAGATGTGAAAGAAAGTTTAATTCTAAATGACATATAAAAACTATAATGAAACAACCATTATTATTATTATTATTAAGAAAGCTAAAGGTGAAAGACTAAACCAATGGACAAGTAGTAATGGATATGTCAAATCTTTTCACAAACACAAATCCAGAAGCAGAATTTGAAATACAAAATGAAAAGTAATATGTTAACCAGCATCATCCAGTCTTTATTTAATCTAATTGCTATCCTGTCTTTATTATATTATTAGAGTATATCCTTTAACATCAATAAATTATTTTCTCTGTTAAAATAGTGCTCAATACATTAATTGTAGATACATTCAGAAAACAGAACCTGAAACATGCTGTCAGCAGGCACACAGACTGCAATATGTCAAGTTTTCTGAAGATTGCACAGCATGAAATTCTGAGTAACAGCATGTTTAAGGATTTGTTTGAATATTTCTATATCACTTAACAATTGATGTATTGAGCACTATTTTAACACAGAAAATATTTTATAATAATAATATAATATATTACAAATTCTTAAACACAAATAATTTCATTAGTGATCATTAACAAGGTAAAATTTGATCTGCAAAATAACAAAGAATGTTGATAAATTATTGAGTAAATGAGTATTTAACTCCAGTTCATTGTTGTCAAGTTTAAATCAGATTTATAGTAAAAATATATCACTAATAGAAACAATAACACACATTTCAGCAGCACTTTCAATTATAGTACAGAATCCTGTCAACTTCAAAACATTTCACTTACATTATGTCCATTGTCCATGGCTGTTTTTAAAATCTAACCAGAGCACTGTTGTATTTTGTGGAAAGAATAATACATGGTGATACATTGGAGAAATTTCACAAGCCAAGCATATAGCATAACTGTTAAAGCTCAGTAAACTGTTTGTTGTTTTTTTCCATCCACAGATGCATCACTCACATTCTATCTGTACATAGCCAAGACTTTATTTAGCATACAGTATAGAAGAATAAGCATGCTCTGCTATCAATATCTATAGTCTTTATTATATATAGTTCATAAGTGGACAGGCTTGTACTATAGGAAAATAATATACAAATGATACTAAAATATAAACTAAATCACTAATACTATAAAACACAACCTTCTAACAACCCAATGAAATAATCTAAATAATAATACATGGATAATCCCTATCAAAAATAACTAGCCACTATACAGAATATAGTTTCAATCTACAGACAGTGTCTTGTGGATAATAATTCAGATTCAGAAATAAAAGAGTTCAGACTTTGAGAAAAATAAACAATTCTTCGATGATAATTCATTAATTTTACAAATGATATGCCTGAAGTTCTATTTTCCCTTAGTTTATCTTAAGATTGAAATATAATATTTTAACTGGTTTGGATCCATGAGACATGGAATTAAATGTTGTTAATCTCATCATTAAAATAACAGTACAGTAGTCATATTCATATAATACCATACATTAGGAAATAAAATAGCATGTAGAGTCTTTTTTCATCTGTTATAAATCAAAACTAAACTAGACTTTTAATAATACAAGAAATCAGTATTCTGTTATGATCGGTGGTATTGCATTTTGAGTATTGAATGAACTAATTTCATATTTTTGCATATCTATCAAACCAATTTTATTTTCGATTCTATCAGAAGATGAGTATTAGCAGTGTCAACAGACAGACAAGGCAAACAACATTAAGGCAATGACGTTGAAGAATTCAAGAATTAGTGCAAAATATCAAAGGAATCAAGACATTATTCAATTTACCAGCTGATATGAGCTATTATTTGTAGACAAACTTTATGTCAGATTTTTAATCTGAAAAGCAAAATGCTTGGCTAAAAATAAGCTCTATCAGCTATTATAGAATTATATGTAGTCTTTAGATGACTTTATTTTGTCCTATCTGGAGTTGTGTATCTATAACATATATGTGGAGATAAAATAAGTACAATCCAAGCCTTGGACAGGAATATCATAGCACTAAATACATAACGGTATAAACCTACTATAAGCATATTACTAAAGCAAAATGAGCAATCTAAAGAGTAGAGTGATATCAGGTGATGTGAATATTATGCTGTAGCAGGTCAATAATACAATGATATAAGAGTATTCTAGAGTATATAAGATGTTATTCTCCTTACTAGGTGTTTGTTTTGGAAATGTCTTTTAACATCGTCTATGCCAACTACTGCCTTCTCTTCCTTTAAATTTCATTAAAATTTTTTTGACAGTATCCCTTAACGTTTAAAACATACCAAAATCAAACAACGCTAATAATATTATATATATAAAGAAAGATATCCACAACTAACAATAGAGATAAATATAACAAAAATACTAAAAAATATCCTCCTTCACTCTTCTTATAAAACTTCTGATTGGTTAAAATATATTCACACCCACTTCCTTTACGGCTCTTGTATAATTTCATTGGTGCGTTTAAATTTCTGTTTCTAGAGAAACTCTTTCATCGCTGTCTTCTGGTTGTAAGTCATACCTGAATGAAGAATCGAAATCATTAAAAGGATTGTAAAGAGGTTTACTAAATATTTTATGTGTATCTGGGACACTGATAACACCATTTTGCACCATTCCAATTTTCAGTCAGATGTCTGTGGTTCCAGCAATTTTACTAAAACTATGCGTTTTATCACTTCACTAATTGTGAAATACTTGTATAAATAAGGACCTCATAAGTGACGTCATCAAATACTTAGTTTTAGTATACACCATATCAATAAACTTCACAATTCAGGAAGGACAATATACTGGATAGTTTCCAGTCAGGGGCCTGTTTCACAAAATATTAACTAAGATACAATCAAGATTTAAAGAAATAGATATAATCTGATTTGTTGATAATTATGAACTTAAAATCAATTTTAGTGATTGACCAATGAAAATCATCTTAATTAAAATTTTTGTAAAACAGGGTCCATAAGTAACAATATATTTACCAGTCAGTCAGAGCTTTATAAATATCAAAATTAGCCAGATCTATAGTCACTATACCCATCATCTTTTTACTGGATGAAAATAAACTATTTTTATTCTTGATAGCTACTTCTAATAACTTCAGTTTAACGTCTGATGGTGATACTGGAAACTCGAGCCTGGTCAAATAATGAACAGGAATTAATATTTAATATTTGTAAGAGTTGAGAGTGTACATGTCTTTTTCATATTTCATATTTTGTACAATGTAAAGTAGATTTTGCATGGAGTGTAAAGCAAGTCAAATTAATTCTTTTTTGCAATAAAAATAACTTAGTGACCATTCTAGACATATATTAACAAATTATTACTTACGTTTCATCAAAAACAGGATTCAGGTTATCTTTAATAACTTTAGTTTTACGTTTGGAATCAGATGATTTGTCTGGTAGAAGGTAGAGTCTAATGTAAGGGTCTGATAGGTTGTTACTGTCCAAAGCTAGCAAGTTACTGAAATAGTATAGACAAGCCAGTATAAATACTAGTAAATTAACAGTTCAACAGTAGATAATCTGATCAATTAGTTTGCTTCACGTTATTAATCTTCAAGTTATTATGAACTACTTTGTAAGTAGTGAAGATGTTCAAATAACATGTATATAGACATCTTAATAATTTCTTAAATTCAAGAGCTCAAAATCAGATATGACATATCACCATAAAGTCCTGTATCCCAATCTTTATGACTATTCGTAACCAAATATATATTTAGATGCACATGAGATCCCTTCATAGGCAAACTAAATGTCATCCTAAGTTGGAAATGTCTTAATCAACCACTGATATAATACTATAGTACTGGTATTCCAAAAGAGTTGGGATAAACCATTCATAATGAATGATAACTTACGTGCATTTATGTATAACAACAATAAATCTGTTTCTCTGAGCGTTATAACGTAATGTTATTTGTATTTTTCCTAAACCATGAGCACCCTTTCCATCATCACTGTATTAAAAATATAATTAACTAGAAAATATCTTTTAATACCCGATTGTTTCCTTTAGAAGTAATCTATTCTAAGACGACTTATAAGGCATTCTTATTGACAAACTAATCAAAAAGATTCATGCAGAAATATACAAAATAAAACAAAACATCCAGATCTGCTTCATAATCAGATATTTTGGTAATATTAAATTTAGAAATTCAAAAAACAATCCTGTAAAATTCCCATGAAAAATTGTTGCCTTTTTATGTTTATTATTTCCTTTGATTGAAGATATGATTATTACAAGAATTATAACCTGTTGGCTTTTTTTAGTAACTTACGCAGGTGTAGCATTGGTTCTTTTTCTTATTGTGGTTTCTTCTCTAGTTGATACAGCAGGAACGATCTTCTCATCTTTAGAACTGGGTACTGAAGGGACAGGTCCAGAACCAGAGGCTGAGGCTGGGTCAATGGAAGATCCTGGTTTACCCTGATCATCAACAGAACTACCTTCCTCTGTTGATGCTAAGGCTTCATCAATCATTGTACCTTCCTGTAGCCATTCTTCATTAGCTACTGTAGTCAGAACCTAGAAAATACAGAAAATACTAGTTATATAGAAACTTTAAGTATCCTCTTCAGTGTTCAGTGATAGATGGCAAAATCAATGCTGAGAGATTTATCTTGAAACCATGTACTTCTAAATAAACCTACAGTGACAGAAATAATGCAAAACATGCGTTAATTTTTCACATTCTAATGACGTTTTTTTTAACCAATCAAGGCATGAAGGACTTTTTCTAGATAATAGTGACACATAATGGAAAAGAAAACATAAAGTAGCGCCATTAAATTAACTAAGGGGTTAAAAATAATGGAGCTCTAAAACATTAGCATGAAAAGAGTAATAACCTACTCTAAGTGTTAACCTCATGTTGAGATAAGCGTTAGAAGCTGTATTTTTCAGTGGAAACTTTCTATCTAAAACCATATCTGTAGCTCCTAATAATTCTTTCAGTTTAACATTACAGTCTCCTAGACTTTTACCAGTCTTCTTGTCCATCACCTACAAATATATACATTGACAAAATCATTAAAGTGGACATACACAGTAATTACTTGGTATATATCAAAACAACTATGTTGTTGTATTAATACAGGGTTTATGCAATATGCTTTGACCAAATATTTTTGACAATCTTATCCTTAATAAAACTAGGATTGCATCTTTATAATGTTTTTATAAACCCAAGAATTAATGAACATTGTGATACAGGTTTAGTCAAAATTCCTGTTTTTATGAAGCCGAAACACCCTTTACTAGAAACTTGTCTTGTCAAACCAGCATCAGTTGTATATTAAGTAAGGCTGAAACATATCTTTTGTTGCCCATCTGTATGGCCACTTACAACCAATATTCATGAAAAAAAAGGTAAACCACTTACATCCACATCCAGGTTTTGGAAGTTTGGATTATGAATCAGGAATCTGAAGTTTTGTTCCCATCTTGGTTCATTAGTGTTCCATTTCACCCAACTCTCTTTCTTGAGAGTTCCCACAGATATCTGACAGAATGGTGAAGGTTCGTTTAAACTTTTCTTTCCTCTCTGGAAAACAATATGTTTCAGATAAAAAAATCTTAAAACTCAAAACCTGTAGCAGCAAAAATTCCTGAATTCCTTGTTGAAAAGTTGTGAAGAGAAAGCTAGCATGCATTTAATCTATTAATCTAATAAGCACAAAAAAAACAAACCCACAAAAAATTAATAGCTCTAAATTTAAAATCTAAAGGAAAGTGAAGTGAAGGCAGAGAATTGAAACCATGTACTGATAAATTCAAGATGCATATATACATAAATAAAGTATATCAATGGAAGAAAGGATTTCATACTAATATTAGTAGATATATAGTGAATATACTATAGTTTTATACAGTGTTATTAAAGAGATGTAGTCATCTTAATAATAGTTTTATCAGGTAATTAAAATCTTGATACTTTTCAGAATAAAAATTTACGGTGGTATGACAAAAAATAACATAATCTACGATAAGATATCATCAATAACAACACTATAGGTGTTTCAGTAATATCTAAATGGCAGATTAATAATAAAGAATTTTTTTCCAAAAATGTGCCACAAGAGGATTACTAGAAATTTCAGTAAAGTTTAAAAATCAGACAACCATATCCCTTTAATGTTATTATTTACATCACACTTGTTATATACACTCAGTATTATGGTGTAGCCACACAGTATTATGGTGTAGCTACACAGTATTATGGTGTAGCCACACAGTATTATGGTGTAGCCACACAGTATTATGGTGTAGCCACACAGTATTATGGTGTAGCCACACAGTATTATGGTGTAGCCACACAGTATTATGGTGTATTATGTAGATATGTAATAAAAAATTTAATAATTGCTGACTTTCAAGGCATGAGCTTAATGATTCATTCTTCTGCATTCAACTGTGCCAATGAAGATAACACCATGCAGTGTACAATGAGAGCAAACTTTGTCCCATTTGAAGAACGAAATAAAATAGGAGCTGCATGTCCAACACCTAAGCTTTTAATTGGCCATAAAGAGAAGCTTTGAGCAATACAGAAAATATTGTTTCACATCAAATAATAGTTCAACAGGTTGTTTTTTTTTTATTTTTTCTTGGTTTCTTCAATTATAAAGTGCAATATGTTATAAAAGGTTTTGTGACTCAATTTTTAGTTAATTTGTTACACAATAAAATTGTGTGAAAATTATCAGCCTTTTCTACCTTTTTCTTCAAATAGTCCTACAAATTTAGAAACATATAAAATAGATCATTTCTTTTCCAATATACAAATACTACTAAACACAGGTTTTCCTATTATTGATCTGGATTTTTCACAGAGAAATTGTAGTAAATAAATAATTAACTCATATAGTTATAGAACTAAAGTATGACAGATATAACCACTAAAAGCACTTTTATTTTGCCATAATCATTAGTCTAATACAGGAAGAACATCCTGATGGAGACGTTAAGTTATTTTAACATAATTCAGAAACCACAAAGCAATGAATGTGGGACAAAATGCCAAATTTCAAGACTTCAGTTACAAGACCCCACTAAACCCCTCACACTCTCCAGTCTCCATCTCTCTGAAATAAACCTGTCTCTTCATGTTGCTTTCCAAAGTGTCTCCATGCTGTGATATATTGTTGACTATAATAAATTGGATTGGGAATTAAATGAAACAAGGTCTTTATCAGTATACATAGCCTTTTATATATGATATAATAATCCTTGCTATAAACAATAAATACAAACAGACATAAAAACAATAATTACAGATTTTTTAACACTCTGAAATTTAAAATTTCACATCAAACACACAGAAATACGGTAAATCTCAAGTGTATATTCCAACATCAACAAAGAATCTTTATATATCACTTGTCTGGTATAAATGGCAAATCTAAAGCCCTTATTTAAACTATTTCAATACCCATGTATCCTAATTTCACACAACAGGAGGGAAAAACATGCAGAGAAAGATATTGTTAGCAAATGTATTAAACAAGCAAAGAGAGAACAGAGTAAAACTTTTCATGTAAAGAAATATTCTTGTCCATTTATAATGGTCAACTGATAGGGGGTTAGTTTGAGGAATCCTCAATCGGCCAATGTGCGTTTGTACAAGACAGCCCTACAACAAAATCAGGAATGATCGCGGGATATCTAGCATGTTCGACCAACATACCTTGCTGGCTAGTATCTGGGTGAACCTGATAATTTTTCATGACCTAGCCTAAAGATCAATTAATAGAATTTCAGGTGCCTTCAACAAACTTGATGTCTTCATCTACCATTCTAGAAAAATCAGATGGACTGTCGATCCCATTGGTTACTAGATGGATGAAAAATCCATCTCTTTGCAATGTTACATCTTGCAAGTAAAGAGACATGTACCCAATCAGGTCCCCCTGACTCAGTTGTTACGAATGAACCCTGGCCATCATGTATTGAGATCCACTTCCTTGACAATGTAGGTTCTCATGTGACTCATTAGCTCTTATACGCCCTCAGGTCTTGATAAAAGGTTGGTAAATGTGCACTGACAGGACAAAATCTTTTGGTATTCTATCAAGATGCGCGCACTGTGCACCGGCATAAAAGATATATCAATATCAAACTTACTGGAAGATCTCTTGCAGAGTCCAGATTAACGAGAAGTATACATGATGAGAATTTTTCATCAGTTTGTCTGTCTTCTTCCATCTTTTGTACAACCTGTAAAACAAACATATTAGACTAGATTAACAGGACTGCTATAAAACTATGGTTGATAAATGTGTAACACATTTGTGTCAAATTCTGATTATGAGACTAGATTCATAGAAATTTTGAATAGGCCTACAATTTCATTCAATTGAAAAATTTCACAAATAACAGGTAAGTAATGGGAAATATTAATTAAAAACAAAACTGTGACACAATGTAAAAATATATTCATCAAATTAAATTAAAGGGGCTGTGCAGTAAACATCCTTGATCAGAATTTTGATATATGAATATTCATTGAATGGTAAATAGCCTACATAACCTCTTTAACTGCATGTCATGGGAAATGTCATTAATGCCAAATTCACAGATTGTAATTTCAAACACACAAAATCAATGATGAACAGCACTTCAGGATTATCTAACTCAAGCAGCGTAAAAAATGGTATTCAGAGACAGAGAGTCAAACACATCATTATAATAACAAAGTGATTCAATAATTAACAAACACACCAAATTAATACAAAATTCATTTTTTCAACTTTCACTCCAAGCTTTCACTTACCCCGAAAATAATCGGAGACAAAACAGGAAACAGGAACAAAAAACAGAGCAAAATAACATAATTGAACTTTAAAATAACATAACTTAATACTTCATTTTTTAAAAGATTTTTGGAATTGATTCAACTAAAAATAAATATCTTTCTTATACTTTTTATAACAGAAATTTAATTACAAAAATAAATAAGTTGGTTTCTACAAATTAAATTAATAAAAAATAATAAAACAACAGAAGAAAACTACACTCATAATATATGCCCACTTCAATTTTTCGATATATCTCAAGATTTGTTCAAATAAGTTTGAAAAGCCACTTTTTAATTCTGGGAATTGTGAAATAAATTTATCTTAAATTCAAAGGCACAGGGGGTTCCCATCCTCCTGAAGTTGTAAAAATGATGCCATGAACAAAAGCCATGATCTTGATCCTCATACTTAAATGTTGTATCTGAATTTATTATTTGATTTCCAAAATTTCTGTTTCCAGTTAAAATAAATATCCTGTTTCAAGGAAATATGTAGGAAATCTAAACACTGCCTTAATTTGGCTTTGTTCAGTTTCGAAAATTCAAGTATTACCTTCCATTATTCATGTTTATAAAATATTAAGAGATGGACAGACATGGGTAGTGACAATAATACTAACACAAAGAAAGATTATAAATAACTTGTTAGTAAGACACACTAGAAAAGTTAAATAATCATCATGAATTATTATAAACAGTGCTATATGAAGGGAAAGTTTTGTATCCTATTAAATCAATAGATTCTGTTGTAATTGATGTGTTTGCATCTATCTCATTATCATTTTAAACTTAATTATTATTGAAAAAAACTACAGTTAAAGCTATTAAAGTTGAAACTAAATCTAAAAATATCAAATAAAAAGAGAAAAAGAAGCACACAGTTATTTGAAATTCAAAATAACCTACTAATGAATAAATTAGCTTTTTAAAATTTATCTATAGACAAAGCTCAGCTAAAGATTTCAATGATAAAATACAATCTGGATCTAGAACATTTCATATCAATTCCACAGGTTTCTACACTTGCCATTTAATTTACACCTGAGTTCTGTTATTTTTAAGATTATGGTGTTGTTTATTACCATTAATCTATGTTAGCCCTACTTAAATCAGGGTGACAATGAAAGACATTTCTTTGCAATGAAAATCCTAGGAAGTAGATACAGCC